TTAATCATACATATATTAATCAGATATATATGTTTGTCTCTAGAATGTTCATTCTATTTCATTGATCTACTTGATTATTTCTGTGCTGGTGTCATGTTGGTTTAATTGCTGAGACTCTATAATGGTTTTAATTTTTAAAAATATTTTATAATTAACTTTGACATTTAAAAATAAATAAATAAAATCAATCTACATTTAAGAAAGAGAGAGAGATGGAACTCCTACTTTTTGCGACAACATGGATGGAACTGGAGAATATTAAGCTAAGTGAGTAAGCCAGTTGATGGAAGACAATTACCATATGATCTCACCTATAAGTGGACTCTATTTGACAAAATAAACAAACAAAATAAACCACGGGCATGGAAACATGGAGCAGACTGAAAGCGATGAGAGGGGAGGAGGAAAGAGGACAATGGTGGAAAGAAGGGGGAGGGACTAGACAAAGAACATGTATGAATGACCCATGGACATGGACAACAGAGTGGGAATTGACTGTGGGAGTGAGGGATGGGGTGGGATGGGTGGAGGCGGGTAAAGGGGGAAAACTGAGACAACTGTAATAGAATAAACATGATTTATAAATGAAATAATAATAATAAAACAAAAATAAAAATAAGTAAAATCTTTTTTTAAAATTAAATAAAATATTGACAATATGACTATATTAAACATATAAGACTGTACAGTAATATACATATTAAAAAGTTAAAGGACAAGTAATAGAATAGGAAAGTATTCGCAATACATTTATAAAAGGGATAATAGTTTGTTGGGTTTTTCTAGGGAAAATATTCTACAAACATTTAATCAAAAAAATTGATAAAGAATACCAAAAAGTCTTTTAAAACATTTTAAAAATAATAGAAATAGGCAATAAACATACAAAAGCAGGTTTAGTTTCAACAAGTAATAAAGGAACAATTAAATAACACATCATTGTCACAATCAGATTAATAAGTATTGAAAATATTGGTAATATCAAGTATTGGTGACTGTAATGGAACTGGGTATTCACAGAGTCTTTTTCTTCAACTTCTTAAAGCAGTCCCTTTAGCATATCTTGCAGTGCTGGCTTGGTGGAGGTGTACTCTTCTAACCTTTTTTTGTCTGGGAAACTCCTTATTTCGCCTTCCATTTTAATTGAGAGCCTTGCTGGGCAGAGCAGTCTTGGTTGCAGGCCTTTGCTTCTCGTGACTTGGAATATTTCTTGCCATTCCCTTCTGGCTTGCAGTGTTTCTGTTGAGAAATTAGCTGCTAGCCGTATTGGGGCTCCCTTATACCTTACTACCTCTTTCTCCCTTGCTGCCTTTGGGATTTTCTCTTTGTCTTTGATATTTGCCATTTTAATGATGATGTGTCTTGGAGCGGGCCTCATTGGGTTCCTCTTGAATGGGGCCCTCTGTGCTTCCTGGACTTGTGTGACTTTTCCTCTCCTCAAATTAGGGAAGTTTTCCATTATTACTTTTTCAAACAAGTTCACTATCCCTTACTCCTCTTCTTCCCCATCTGGTATCCCTATTATATGGATATTATTATGTTTCAGGTGTTCTGCATTTCCCTAAATTTCTCTTCATTCTTTTTGAATCTTTTTTCATTTTCTAGCTTTTTCTGGAAGTTTTTTCCTACATTATCTGCCAGCTCACTGATTCGGTCCTCAGCTTCATCTAGCCAGCTTTTGATTCCTTCTACCGTGTTCTTCAATTCAGAAATTGTATTCTTCATTTCCTCTTGCCTTTTATTGATAGTTTCTATGTCCTTTCTCATGCTGATATAGTTTTCAGTAAGTTCCTCATAGTTTCCCTGTTGTTTTTTGTAATTCTCTCTTAGCTCACTGACCTCATTGAGCTTCCTTAAAACTGTTGTTTGGAATTCAATATCTGATAGTTTACTTGCTTCTATATTATTTAGTTCTCTTTTTGGGGATTGCTCCTTTCCCTTTGATTGGGGGGTGTCTATGTCTTCCCATTATTTGTGAGACTCTTCTTTTTTGCTTCTGCTTCTTAAATTGATCTGTCTTGATTTCCTGACTTTGTGGTGTGAACTTGTATGTTAGGAGGCCACTGTTTTTTCTTTCTGGATCTGCCTCTGATGATGTCAGATGTCGTCCCTGTCTGACCTTAGGCAGTTTGTTCGAGACTTCCAGGAATCTCCTGTCTGTGGCTGTCTCCGTCAGTTGTCAATCTAGTCAGTCTGCACTCAGCAATTAGGCTTAGACACTACAGGGTGGGGCAGAATCCCTCCTGGCAGTGGGGTTACTGGGTCCTTTCACACTGGTGTCACTTAGGGGAGTGGTCTGCCTGAGCAAGATGGCTGCTGCCACATGGGGGATGAGTCAGCACCGGAATCCTGCCGGCTACTCTCTCAGTTCTCTCCCCAAAGCCTCCTTCCCCAGCCTCTCCTCAGGTGTCTCTAGCCCACTCTGCCCCCACCTTTGCCAGAGACCAGGGTAAGTTGCTGCAAATAATAATTTATGTGTTGGCCCTTTACAAAGCTCTTTGTGTCTCTAGCCACCTGCCTCTGGCAGAGAGCAACCCTGCTGTTTTTGCTACTGGTTGTTATCTGTCTACTTTTTGGGCTTTGGTGCTGTAGACTGGAGATTCCCGCTTATGATTTAGACCCCTCTCTTCTCAGGGAGATAAAACTGGCCGTTTCAATATCCTTCTGTTGCTGCCTCCCGTGGGTGCCCCACCCACCTTATTGAGTCTCTACTGCACTCCTTACCAGTTAGGTTATACTAAAGCTGATTCTTCTGTCTGTCTGAGGTTATAAGCCTCCTCTCTTGCTATTTTTCACTTGTTTGTTCCTGGTGATTTCTCCACAATTTAGTTATAATTCCAGATTGGTCCTGGGGGGAGGTCAGTGTGACTTCCATTTACTCCTCCACCATCTTGATTGTTGTTTTTTTTTCTAGAGAGTTTTTAAAAAATGTTAAAATGTTCCCCTAGCTAGTGTGGCTCAGTGGATTGAGTGCTGGCCTGCAAACCAAAGGGTCACAGGTTCAATTCTCAGTCTGGGGCACATGTCTGGCTTGCGGGCTAGGTCCCCAGCAGGGGGCACACAAGAGGCAACCACATATTGATGTTTCTCTCCCTCTCTCCCTCCTTTCCCCTCTCTAAAAATAAATAAATAAAATCTAAAAAAAAACAAACTGAAAAAGCAACTGTTTAAAAAAATAATGTTAAAATGTTGTCACTATATAAAAGTCACAAATGTGTTCTGATTAATCTGCCATCTCTCTGACTGTTTTGTATTCAGGGGTCTTGGAATAGTTAGTTAAGAATTGAAGTTGATAGGGTAGGGGAAAGACCCCTCTGTGAGCTACAAGAAGTAGTCCTGGGGGGCAGTAGGAAAATTGTCCAGAGATGGGTGTGGATGTGTGTCCAGGCAGGAATGCATTTTGGTGCCATGATTAGGGGACAGCAGGGCCAATTCTGATGGTCCTAGGTGTGTGTCCCTGTCCTTATCCACCTTGATTCTTGGAGCCTCAGCAAAGGAGGACTCTCAGTCTTGACATAATGCTTGCCCACAAAGGACATGAAGGTAGCTAATGCCTGAATCCTCCCTAACCCCAGTCAGCTCCTGATGGCTGGTTTCCATTCAGGAAGGTCCTCTATACTTCAGGTCACTAACTAGACAGATATTTACAATGATCATGCAGCTATTTATGGAATTTAACTACTGATCCTGAGCTCAAAGATCTCCTACTTCTGTGAGAGTGGAAGAGGCTTCCTCTCTTAAGTCTTCATCAGGAGACACATGCTGGCTTCCTACAATTAACCTTCTTGCAGTTATGAACTCTCAGACTGTCCTCTCCTGATGCCCTGTTGGTTGGTGGCAATAGTATGTGCAGGCAGTGGTGGGTCTGGATATGATGACAAATGTTTGGCAGGAGTTGAGAAACATCAGCCTGAACCTGCTCGTTTTCACAAGGTCAGTGGGGTCTCCTGAAGAACAAGGGACAAGATTTTCTGTGAAGTCTGAGATGTTTTGGTCCTTGATTTGCCTTTTGTCATTCTATGACCTTGTGCAAGTTGTTCACATATGCCCCAAGGCTTAGTCCTCTCATGTGTGCAGTGACAGGGTTGGCTAGTCTTACAAGGATCTCACACAATGATAGCATTTGTTTTTTATTAGAAGGGACAATCTTCCCCATTCTGGATAGGCCTGTTCTTCTTCCTCCTTACATTCAGTTTGTTCATAAATCTTAACTGCATTAACAGTCTCAATATCCTTGGTCTCTGCTTCTTAGCTCCTTTAAATCTGTCTTCTTCCTTCAAAACTTTGACTCCTATCTGAGGCATCAATAATCTTTTCAGTTGCAACTCAATGACTCTTCTCTATCCTTACTTTTCTTAAGCCTTTCAGCAGTGAATACTTTGGGCCAGTTTGTCCATCCTCCTACATTTCATTTTTGTCGTCTTTATCATCCTCTTGCTGTGAGAATAGAAAAGAGGCCAGTATGACTGGTTGCAAGTAAGTGAAGAGGAGCAGTAGACATCTTGTGCATCCTCAGTTTCCAGTACTCTCTCTTGGAGTCTCCCAAGCACTTCTGTGCAGTGTGGCCACAGCTAAAGACATAATCTTCCTGCTGGAATCAACTCATCCTCCCACATTTCCAGTTACTTTTGGGGTCCCCAATCTGAGACATGGACAGCAGCCTCACCTGCTCCCTCACCTACACTTGTCCAGGTCCACCTCCCAAACACCTCTCAAAAAATACAAGAAGTATGTTTACTCCTTGTGTGGTAACCTTGTGTTACCATCACCTCTCCCTGGGGTGTTACATCTTGCCCTACTAACATCCTGTCCACCCATTCTAAGGACCCCAGAGCAGTCACTCAGAAATCCACACTCATCTGAACATCTCCCGGTCCTGCTAAGGACCATTACAATCTCAGCTGTAAAATTCACACTCTGTTCCATGGCTCCAACCACCCAGGCCAGGGTGCTTTCCAACCAATGAGCCCTCCAGTGACACTGAGGAATGACAAGGCACCTTGTGCAGTCAAGAGCAGTTTTATTTGCTGAGCAACTATGGAAAGTAACACATGACTGGTGGGAAAAGGGGGGGGGAACAGTTTCCTTGGAGAAAAGGCTGCTCTGGTCCCCAAACAGTGGTTGTGTCTTTGTTCAGGACATGGGCAGCATTCTGTGAGTCCTCAGAAGCTGGGCAGGGAATGGATTGAGTGGCAGGAAGTGGTTCTGTTGGAAGAAGACCCCAATCAGAATGGGGGCTCAGGCTCACTGACTCTTGTTTGTATTGGTCCATCATCAAACCCTCCAGAGAGAGGGGAGGAGGCTGACACCCTGGGGCTACAGGTCTTATCTAAGCCACAAAGGGATCCCAGGCCTGGGGTCAGAGGGATCCTTGTGCATGTGTATCTGTGTATCCATAAAGGCTTGGGTGTGGTGAGTTTGCATGTGTGTGTGCATGTGCAAGTGTGCTTGTGTGAGAGTGTGTGTCTCTCTATGTCTGTCTGAGTGACCATGTGTTTGGGGGTGTGTATGTGCATACATCCATGACCATGTGTGTTTGTGTTTGTGATTGTGTTGCACTGCCAGCTGTGTCTCTCTGCCACTGTCAGCATCTCTGTGGACTTCTCTGGACACATCTGTACTTGTCAATGTGGCACTTGTCTGTTCCTTTGGATGTTACTGTCACAAGCTCACAAGCCCCCTGCTGCCCTCAACCAGGGAAGAGCAATAGCCCCAACGTTCTGGGGAGTGGGGGACAGCACTCACTAGCTCAGGAGAGGCTGAGTCCCATCCTGGAAGGTTTAGATGTTGATGACAATTCCTTCTCCAGTGAGCAGTTTGTCTGGAAAATGAAAAACCACCATCGCAGGCCTGAGTCATGGTCTCAGTGTGATGGCATCTAGGATTTCCCGCATTCCTCCCTAGGCCTGGCACAAGGAATGGTAACTCTGGAGGTCTGACCAAGCTCAGGCAGGGCTTGAGGCGGGAGCAATGCCTCCTTCCTCCAATCAGCTCAGCTCTTCTCAGTGTTAGGGCTGATGGGGGAAGACAAGTCTATACCTCAACACTATCTGGATAAATCAAGGCAAAAAGAAACCCAAAACGGAAAGAGTTGAGGCTGGAGGGATCTATCTGCCCCATGGTGTACAGGGACAGAGCTCCTTGGGACAAGGGCTGCTCCTTCGGAGACGGGGAGAGGGCTTGGAAGCAGGTACTTACTGGCGATCTCCTGCACTAGGGACACATCCAAGCGGCTTAAAAGTTCATTGACTATAGTGCACACCTGAGTCAGGGGCAGAGAGAAAAGTTAGACAAAGTGGTACATGGAGGGAAATCCTGGGAACAACATCATTTTAGGATGGATTCTCTGAGGGAGATTTTCTACCACTTCTCTATGTCTGAGAATGTTTGTTTTGAAGCATTCACACAGAAAAATGCTTACACTTCTGTTGGGCAGAAGGAGAAACTGAAAGCATGTGTGTAAAGCACCCAATCTCACAGCGAACCAGTGTTTACTCTATGACATGATATCTTCTTCTAATAAGGTGGGCTTCTCTGGGAGGGGTATATTTCTGGTCAGAGGAGGTACCCAAGCAAAGGCTAGAAGAGTGTTTGTCTGTAGCCATGGCTGGGGTGGACTGAGAGCTTCTCTGGGTAGGGCCTATCTATTTCAGCTGCAGTGTGGAATATGCCCAGGGCCTGGCTCAGAGCAAGAACCAATCAGTGCATTTGAAGGATGGAAAGAAGAAACATGGAAAGGTGGATCAATGGACAGACAGACACTCATGGAATTTACTCATCAAACTGAGAAGCTCAGAAAAGCTCATCCCAGGGGCCTCTTTCAGCCTAAGAGACTCTAAGATGCAAAGGCTAGGAGCCCTCTCTTTAACCCACTTACCGGACCCTGCACTACCAGTGGAATGCCTTTATTCAAGATGTTGGTGATGGTATTCGCAAATGTTTGAAGGAAGAAGGTGTCAGCTCTGAAAGAGAAAAGCCATGGGCAGTGCAGAGGTCTGGGGCTGGTATGGGGAAGACTTCTGAGGGGCCACGGGGCCCCTCACACTCTCAGCGTTAAGTAACTGAAACTGGGCCTTGTCCGTCCACACTCACATGCAGGCAAACACAAAGCGGCCTATCCAAAGGGAGTAATACCCTACACAGCAGTGCACACAGTGGAACATGTAGAATAAACATGTAGTTCCAATACACAGTAGATATTCAATGAGATTTTTCAGAATCCATAAATGGATGAACAATGCTTAGAGTGTAGTCATGAGGATCCAATGAGATGATACATGTCAAGCACAATATATGTGTTCAGTAAATTTTAGCCATGATGGGGACAACCTGAATATTGTGCATGACCAGTCTTGTGACAGGTAACTGAAATAAGTATCCCAGGGAGGCTCCATAGCTATTTTACCCCTTACCAGGACAAAACACATTCACACCTATTATGTTAGTGGGGTTATCAATAACCCCAATGCAGCTCCATATTACAGTTTGGGGAATTACTGTCCAATTTCACACAGGAAGCCCCCTATTTCTCCCCATGCCCTCTGGTAGATGGGGATTGAACCCAGACTTTTTGCTCACTAATACAGCATAAAATTGGTCAGCCTAGCCTAAGAAGGGATAAGTCTATTTATCCATCTGCCCATCCATCTTCCCTCCCACCCATCAATCTTCCCATCCATTCATCCTCCCACTCATCCATTCTTCCCTTCTTCTCTTTCCAACCATCTATCCCTCATCCCATCCTATTGTCTCTGGGAAGGCAAAGCCAACCCTCTGGCCTTACCCATCAAGCACGGTGATGTCCAGTTTGCCAGGGGGCTGAGTGCAGTCACCAAGGACCAAGTGGACCGTACCATTTTCATCTTTCACAGGGGCCAATTCCACAGTAGTGTTTAGCTTCACAGACAGGTTTAGCAGACGTTTTTTAATGAGGGGCCTGCAGAGCGGATAGTGACCTCACACATTCCAAGAAGAGGAGGCTTTTCTCCTTGCCAGGAATGCCAGCCTCACCTCATTCCATTTTGACCGTAGATATACACGTCTCATTTCCCAGTAGGGGAAACCAAGGCTCGACGAGATCAAGTGAGTTTCCCAAGTGACTCCAGGTCACTGAGCATAGCAGCAAATGAACCGAACTTTGCGGTTCATGTCCATTAGGCTCAAATGCCCCCTTTTTGACTATGCATTGTCATCAGGGTCTCCTTTGGTGAGCCACCCTCCCAACTTCCCTTCGGGCCCACTCACACTTGCACAGCGACATCCAGGTCCAGAGGGATGGTGAGGTAGAGACGATGGCCATCCTCGCTCTGCACAAGGCCAAGTTCCAGTAGCTTGGAGCTAGCGATATTTATACTGCCCAGGAGATGAAGGGAGAAACATTAGCTCTTCTCACCCCAAGCCTATAAACCACATTTATCCCAATCTTAACTATCCCAGAGGAAGAGCTACCCATGAGGTAGGATGGGGGAGACAGGAAGGGAGTCTTGAAGCAAAAAGCACATGGGTTTTGAGTTGCATCAGTTTTCCCCAACCTCGGCACTGGACCAGATCCTGACATACCTATGGTTCTCTTTTCAACTCGGGTCTGTGAGGTGTTCCAGGATAGAGACTGAATTATATTTGCATTCTATCTGGATTGTATTTGCATTCTCTATGCCAGTTCAGAGCTGTACAAAGAAAGAGTCTACCATATTGGTTAACTTTATGGACTGATGAGCAGGTGAGTAGATGAATATGTGAGTGGATGCATGGAAGGACAAATATTTAGATGGAAGGAAGGATGGACAAATGAATAGATGAATGGGTAAGTGGATGATGTATGGTCAAGTGGAGTAAGTCTTTAACAAACATTTATGAGCAGAAATCACTCATTCTGCCATGACTTTCAATGGCAGGTTAATCAACAATGTTTGTCATGGAGATTGAGGAGCAGGAAGTCAGGGAGGATGGAGAGAGGATGGAAGTAAACCTCTTCTCTGAGCCAGCCATTGTGGCAGGTGATTACATCTTTTCCACTTCTCCCAACAGTTTTTCTCTGTGGGTACCATAATCTTCATTTTATAAATAGAGAAACTGAGTGATTCTGTGAACCCAGAGTGCCTGGTCTCAGGTCACCCAGCAAGTACATGGTGCATTTGGAAACCAAACTTAAGACTATGTCTGTCTTCAAGTCAGGGGCAAGCACCTAGGTGGGTAGGAATCTTGGAAATGGCTTTGATCCAGCCCTATCAAGGACCCAGGCTTTGCCAGCTCACTGCATTAAGTTTTCCATTATTCCTTCTTGCTTAGCGAGCTCTCAGATGTCTCATGGGAAACACCATATCAGATCATTCCATGGACATTACATTGACAATGTAATTGAGGAGAGTGGTTCACACTTTCTTGCCTACATCATAGTTCTTCTGTCTTCTAAGGGACTCTACAGGTGAGAACAAAATTACCACTGTGTAGTGGGAAAAAACCTTGACTTTGGAAGTAAGTCAATTAGAGTTAGATACCTCTCTCTGTACCACTCTAATTGTGTGAGCACAGGCACTTTTCTGTGCTTCAGTGTTTCCATCTGCAAAGTGGGAACTATTAAATTGACCTCAGATGGCCGTCATGAGGCTCACAGATGATGCTGAGGACTCAAGATATGCTTCAGGACTGAGGATAATTGCTGGTTCAAGAGGACTGATGTTCCCTGCCAGACCATGAGAAAGGTCTCAGACTGAGTCCTGGGCTCATGTTCAGACCACCCTTCTTCCTCTTTCAGGCCAGGGCCTGGGGCAAACAGATCTCCAGTGGGGGTCCTCTGGTGGAGACCAAGGACCTGCTTTAGGGCTACTCACTCAAGAATGTTTTTCAGAGGATTGAGCAAAGAGATCACTTGCTGAAGAAGACCGCTAACGATGCCATCAGGACCATTTCCCAGGTTCTTCAGGGCACCCAGCAATGGAATGTTTTTGAGACCGTTCAACAGGTCCCCAGAAAGCAGATTATTCTTGACAGCTGGAGATGGGTATAGAGATTCTCAGGGGTCAGGCCTGACAATTTCAGGCTCTTAGCCCCCTCCCCCCATTCATCCCTGCCCTCTCTCCTCATTGGACAGTTGGGAAAACTACACACACACACACACACACACACACACACACACACACACACACACAGAGGCCCCTGAATGAGGTTGTCAGAGATTCTCACTTACCATCCGTGAACCCTTTAGCAAGATCTGTAGGATCCGAAGCCAGGTCCACAGGCAAGGGCAGGGCCAGCAGCCCACAGAAGACAATGAGGCCCCCAATTTTAAACATCTCTCTTTGGTGTCTGTAGACAGGATGACAAGCCCAATATGGCACAGATAACAGAAGGAAATTGAGCCACTGCCTGTCTCTGGCCCCCAGAACACTGGGGAGAGAATAGCAATAGCTAACCCTACTCAGTACTTCCTCTGTGCCAGGCATCAGGCTGAGCTCTCCAAGCTGGGTAACTGATTTTATCTTAACCACACCCTACAGTGTGGCACTAATCATGTGCATTGCTCAGGTGAGGAAATGGGGGTCTAGTGAGTTTAGGTAACTTCCTTCAAAATCACAAGTACACATGAGGACAGGATTTGAAGCCAGACCCAGAGGCTTCTGTCTAAATTAAGTGACTATCAGATTTAGTCTCTTATTGGGCTTACTTGCAGTGATTTGAATCATTGCCCCTAGTGCTTGCTCTTTAGACAAAGCAAATGAAAAACTTAAACCTGCTAGTGGCTGAGGAACTGAACTGCTTTGCCACCATTCCTGTTCAGTCTTTTGGTCCGGGTCCATCCTGTGCATGTCACACACTCTCAGAAGTCACCTAGCTGTAGTCACCATCTCATCCAGACCAGTGTTTGGGAAATCCTGGGTCTTTCAAAGTTTTCATTTCACAAGGAGAATCAGGGGACCAAAGAAGGGTAATTATAGTCTCGAGATCACACAGCAAATGGACAGCAGAGCTGTGGTGGGACGGTCTCTGAACCTGCCCGCACCCCACACACAAACACACAACACACACATATGCGCACATACTCTTTTCTATGCCTTTCTCTTCTCGCTCAAGCTGACCTCGGTGAACTCCTGGGGAACCCCTGACAATGGCTGCTTTTCGCACCAGTCTCCTCCCAGATATCATCAGCCTCTCGCAGGCTTATCTGGCTGCTGAAAGAGGTGTCCAAAGCTAGGGTACCTATATTTTGGAGATGTCTGGATATTGGGGGTAATATTCCATCAACTGACCTATTTGGCCAAAGTACCATCATCGCTGTGGCCAACTGAAATTGAAAGGGCTTTTTGGTCCAGAGAGCCTATTGTGGCCTCCCTAGGGACTGGGCCTCTGAATCTCTTTTGGGAAGCAGAACTTTTATGAATCCACTAGAAGCTAAGGACCCTGATCCCAGAAAAATGCATCAAAATGTATAAAACTGGGAACATTTTAAGAGGTTTGTAGATGATGGTCTGAATTCACAAGGGCAACCTTGAGGCAAAACTTGTGCTGTAGAGATTTGGACTTAGGGTATGAAGAGCATACCCATGAGAGAATTTCAGCAGTCACTCCTGCAACCACAGACTCCTTTTTCTACGTTTTCTACATTTCGAATTCAAACGTTTCTGTATTGACATTACTGGCCTCTTGGGGAAGTGGAGTGAATGGCCATCCCATGCCCGTGAAAATGGCGATCCCCATTTCTTTTAGAAGACCCCCAATGAGTGATCCTAATGCACTCAGCCAGGGCCCACCCCACAGCAAGGAGCCTGGCACCCTGCCCCCCAGAGCCGCATTGCAGGAGCATGATGGGCAGATCTCACCTGGGCTTCTCAGAGGTCCCTGTGGCTGTCCTGGTCTCCTCTTCCCTCTCCTGTTGGCTTTTACTGAGGAGTCAGCCTCTTTTTATAGTGTGGGAATAAGGAAACATGGAACCAGATGACAGGTTTCTAGAGGATTTGGAACTTTGCGATCTAGTGGTGTCTTTCAGGGCTCTCCAAAGTAAATAATTGCCAATTGCATTAGTAAGTGAAACTATTAAGCTATTTGATTGACAAGCTGTGAAAAGAAAAACCTGAGATGAGGATGTTACTGAAGATGGCAGCCAGCCAGAGCTCAGGAAGCGACCTCAATCTCCTATCTAGACCCTTTTCCGTTCCTGGTCCTGTTCTTTTTCTCCAGTTAGAGGTCTCTTGTTCTTAAAGAGTCAAACTGTCTTTCATTTCCCTTTGTCTGGGGGCTATCCATTCTCACCAGAACCCTGGGAGGGAGGGTTTGCTGCTCCTCCTTTGCAGGGTGGGGGACTGAGGTCCAATGGGGATAAGATTCCAAAGACACAGAGAGGATCTGGAAGAGTTAGAACTCTACTCGTTGGATAATGATAATAATAAACACAGTGTCAACAGATGACACGAGCCCTTGCTGTAAGTCAGGACTGCATTGATTTCCACAGGCAGCATCTCTTGAATCCTCAGAGCCCTGTGTGAGGCAGGAATGAGTACTCCCACTTGACACGGGGGAAATGGAGGCTCAGAGTGAGTGGGTACGCCCAGAGTTGCACGGTGGACGTGGTCCTGAGGCATTCATGCTCTGGCCTTTTCTCAGAATCACGCTCTGGCCTTTTCTCTGGCCTTTTCTCAGAGGGCTGTACATTCACTGACTGTTGTGCTTTCCCACATTTGTGAATTTCATGCTGTCATGAAATTTCACTTTATGTCCTGGGAAAGTCTTTCCAGGATTCCAGGCCTGAGGGATGCTGTGGCATCCAGGTTTCTACATTTGCCCTTTCTTCTTCCCTTCCCCAAAGGAAAGTAATAAGATATTTGTCCCCACAACTTGGACCTTTGGAGTCTATTTCACAGATGACAAAACTGAGGCATGGAGAGATAAAGGTCATAGACCAGGGAAAGCAGGTCCTGCCCTGCAAAACCTAACACCTTATAAGAAGCAACAGAAAGAAAGTAAAAAATATGCATTTATTGGATACCTACTATTTGCTGGATGCTCTCCATATTTGAACCTTGTCTTACTCAGGAATGGTTGGTATTGTTGTCCCTCAAATATCAGATAAGGAGACGCAGGTTCAGAGAGGGCAACTGCTTCCCTGGGACACACAGCGAATGAACAGTGGAGTCAGAACTTGCCCCTGTGTCTCGTCACCCCCGTCACCAGTGAGATGTGCCTCTTTCCCTCACCCTTCCCTGGAACTGCTGCCTCTTCCTGTGAGACCCCTGCAGTGGCTCCAACGTGCCAGGGCCATGGCTTTGAGGCACTCACTAGACTCTTCCTAGAGCTTGTATGTTGTGAATCATCCTTGAAGGGGTCCTATTTTTTGATGTCTTGGTACAGCTCTTATGGGTTGGGTTAGGTTGCTACTATCTTTGAGGGGAAACTGAGGCAAATAAGTCAAGATGTCGCAGCTGAGCACAGGTAACCAGGTTCTGGGTGATTGCAGACAAAGAACTGAACTGAACACACAGGGAATTTATAGCAGAATGAGAACAGATTGATTAAGTGATAGCACACTCCATAGAGCATGGGAACAGGCCAACTCCAAGCAGAGACTGACCCTCAGTTACTGGAGGGATTCTATTCTTGTAGGGCAGATATTTCCTGGTTAGCTTTGGTAGGGTTTTATTGAGCATGGACAAGTAGTTGTATTACTTCAATGCTACTGCACGTGTGGTCTCCCATGATTTTCCTTGATTGGCCACCGGGGAGAGGGGTCCCACAATGCTAACTTATTATAATGTTGTTATAATGAAGCAAGGGTCATGCAGCATCTTTTGTGCAGGTGCATTCATGATTCACCATGATTCAGCACTTTTCCAGAAAACAGGAACCACCGGTGTTAGAAGAGCGTCTCTGTCCTGTCACGATGTCCTTTGTCTTAGCCCTGGGGCACCTCCGGAGTTTCCTCCTTCCTGACTTTCTCTTGCCTCAAAGGGACTGACTCAAGGTTGTACAACCAGTTACTGGGCAGGCCAGGTCCTTGGTTTGAAGACGGGAGGTTGCATGTGTGTGATGGCAGAAAGGGGATGAATTTGGGCACAGAATCCCTGGTTCAAATCCTGTGACCCTGGGCAAGCCACTCTAACCCCTTGAACTCCAGTTTCCTCTTCTTTAAAATGAGGGGATAATATCTGCCTAGCAGGGCTGTGGGGGATCATGTCTGGAGAGCTGGTAGAGTCTTAGTTCAAAAACTCATGTATCTATACAGTTTTCTTTCTAATGCATGTACAGTTTAGTTACCATTTCAAATGCCATTTGCTAGGTAACAGACACTTCCCCACTCCCCCCTGGGGTTTTATTTCTGTTCCAGGGGCTTCATTTGTGCCACGGCATGTAGAGGAGGCTGCCCTGTCCCTGCTTTGACTAGAAATAGAGAGACAACCATGTGCCTTCTGGCCCCAACTGCTGAGACACTGTGTGTCCGTCTCTCCTGTCCAGGATTCCCCTGTGGATTAGCATGTAATTCTTACTCCCTTGTTAGACACCCCCAGTGGTTCTGCAGTTTCTTGATTCCTTGGGCCTCAACCATGGCAACACCATGGCGGGTAGGCTACCCTAACCCATCTGCCTGGACCACCTAGACTCTTTAGATAACCTTCTTTCCCTGGGGTCTTGTCATCTCTCCTGGTTTTGGAAGGGAACATGGGTGCAGGTATCCTCTGCCCTTGAACCCTGTACAACAACTTGGAGTACCTCTTGTCCCATGTCAATTTTTACCTGGAGGGTAGCACAGGTGCAAGACACCTTCCAGAACCTACCAGAACTATGTTCTCCTCAGTTTCTCTTGGGCTCTCACACTCCACCAACCCAAGATGAGGAATTTTCTAGTCTTGGGGCAGGAAATCCTGCTTCAATTCATTATATATGTGCTATTCATTGATATCTCCTATGTCCTGAGATTTGAAACTGAAAAACCCAGGTTTAAAAAAAGAATTAACCCACAGTAAAATTGGCTTTTTATCCTTTAGGGTGTAGGCCTGTAAATTTTAATGCCCATATAGTTTTATGTCACCATCATAATAATCAGGATATAGAACAGTTCCATCACCCCCCAAACACCCTCATGCAGCCCTTTTAAAAGGAGTCACACCCGCCCGCCCGCCCACCCACTGGTGAGTACCAGTCTATTCTCTGTCACTCCTGTTTGTCAAAGACCTGGGTGCCAGAAACTTCTGCTTATGATGAAGTTGGCCCTCCTTGAAGCCAAAGGTAGTGCCTGTTCACCTTTGGCTTCAAGGAGGGCATCAGGGAACGTAGAAGGACAGACACATTATTGACATTTCAAGACAGTGTTTTCCACATTGGTGACATCAATGTTTTCCCAACCTATTTCTCAGAAACTGTAGGTGGTGCCCCTTCCTTTCTACGTATCTGATTGTCATTGGCAGCCTTTATGTTTGTGAATTCAGAGATCTACTTTTAAAGGGCAGAGTTAATTTTTTCAAGGGGCTCTGACCTACCCAGGTCTATTCCCAGAACCTGGGAGTGGGACGTTGGTTCTCTTCCCTGGAGCAAGATCAGGTGGCAGCTGAGTTTGAGGGGGAATGTTCAGATGGCCTTGGGTGCCCCAGTTGAAGGACAGAGGGCAAAAAGTGTTCACGGAGAGCTGGGTGCCCTAATTTTGATGAGGAAATACATTTTTGCTTAAGGCAAGTTCCACTTACCTTGGAGATTAATCTTCCTCCTGCACTTACAGATAATAATAATAAAAGCTTTTTGTGGGACACTAGAGCATTATACCATTCCTAACAACCCTGTGGGAGCCCTGAGGCACAGGGAGGACAGCCAGGTGTCCACGGTCACCTCCACTAGGAAGAAGTGAATTCAAACTGCCATCCAGGGCTGTCTGACTTTTGTGCTTACACCTTCCTAAGCAAGCTTGTGTCACAGTCTTCAGCTCAGAAAGGTCCTGGGAAATCAGGCAGCCCTGAGTTCCAAACCCAGCTCAGCCAATGACTCTGGACAAGATGCTTCTGCTCTTCCAGCCTGTGTTTCCTCACCTGCAACAGGGAGCTGATGACACCTACCTCCCAGGGCTGCAGAGAGGGTTAAATGGGGAAACAAACGCAGCGCACAGCCCAGCACCCGGCACAGAGTCAGAACTCTGTGATACAAGGGCACGAAGTCATGGGATATAAGGCAGGCAGGGCCTGGAGTAAGCTGCTGAGCACTTGGGGCTGGGTTCCTGCTTAAATTACCTCCCACCCCAGACCCTGGTCTCATAACAGGGGTCCATTTTGCAGTAAGATCTTCTAGGAGAAAGCGCAATGAGTCCATGGCTCCGTGAACCTTAAAATGAAAACAACAGAAGAAACCCAGGGAGGCCCCTTGAGGAAGGAGGTCCCGGAACCACCCCTAGAGGGGTCAGGGGGAAAGCAGACAAAATCTGCCTTCACCAAGGGACCAGGCAACCTCGCAGGAGGACAGGACCTGGTCCTCACATATTTGCTTTCTGAATCATGAGCAGGAGGAACCCCACAACCTCAAGGCTGTTGAGGGGAATCATCTGTGTGTATATGGGGGTTGAAGGTTGCAAATTCCCACTGAAGCATTTTGGATCAGGGAGTCTCAATTGAAAGATGGGGACATGAGTCTCTCTTGCCCCGTTTTCATCTCTGAGATGTTGACATTTCCTTATTTGAGCTTCTCAATCCAGCTGTACGCATATTTCATCATTTCCCTGTCAGTGTGTGTTTTAGGGGAAGGGGATGGCATCAGAAAGAAGGGAGGGAAGACTGGAGGGGAATCCACAGTGGTCAAGAGTATGGGCTCCAGAGTCTGGCTGCCTGAGTGCTGTCGACTTGGTCATTTCATTGCTGTGTGGCCCTGGGCAAGTGACTTTCTCTCTCTGAGTCTCTGTGTCCTTATGGGTAAAACAGGATAGTGCTTCATGGGGTTGCTGTGGAGATTTGATGAGATTGCTGAATGTGAGCTCCTGGCACCAAGCTTGGCACGTGCCGAGGACTTAATATGCATGTGCTACTGTTATTATATGTGATGTGTGTGTTATTTCCCCTTGATTTCTCAGTAGGCTTTCCCTACCCTCAGGTTGAGGAGGGTAGGAATTCATATTTAAGAATTGAATAGTCATTACTTAAGTAAGTAACAGTCAAGTAAATGATATTTAATAAGCCTACCCTATGGACTTAGCATATGCTAAACATATTGCAAAAGGCTTATCACATACTTCGACATATTTGTCCTATGTGGTAAATATGTTTATTTAAAATTTTTTTGTTAAAGTATAACCTACATAAGAAAAATGCACTTAAGTGAACAGCTCAATGAACTGTCACAAAGTAACAATTGTCACAAACTGAACACCCTCCCCATAATCAGCACACAGATCCAGAAACAGAACGTTAACGTTGCCTTGCTTGAGCCCCTCCCAGTCACTAACCCACTCCCCAGGGGTAACCAGTATCATGGCCACTAACAGCATAAACTAGTTTTGCTGTTTTTGAGGTTCATATACATGGGCGATGCAACATGAGCTCTTTTGTGTCTGGAATTATTAGATGTGTGAGATGCATCTATGTGGCCGTGTGCAACTGTAGGTCATTTTCATTACTGTAGAACATTCTGCAGGGTGACTATCCCCACAAGATCTCTGGTTATGCATTCTTTTGATGAGCATTTAGGGAATTTTTACTTTGGGACCATTATGGCCATTGCCGCTATGAGCAATCTTGTACATGTCTTGAGCTGCCCATATGCATGGGTTTCTGTTGTGCATAGACCTAGGAGTGGAATTGCTATGTTATGTGTTGCAATTTTAGGGGATGCCACCAACCCAATTTTATAACGTAGTTGTACAAATTCCCTCCCACCCGCAGTGTGAGAACTCCTGTTGCTCCACGTCCTGTAAGCTTTCTATTCCTATTTTGTAGGTGATGAAGACCAAAAGGTAAAGTGCCTTGTCCCAAACACAGCTAGTGAGTCCTAACTGGACCAGGATTTGTTCACTCATTTAACCTCAGATATTGGCTGAGCTTGCAGTCTATGCCAGCCCTATGTTGGGGACTGGAGAGTTCACTGGTCACCCTAATGCACACAGTCCATACTTTCATGGAACCTCCCTTTGGGCTGAATTGAATCTGAGCTCAAGCCTGTTTGATGCCAACGCATATGCTTTTCCACTCAGTTATCGTTTTGCTACACTCCTTTGGAGCTCAGCAAAGTGCTTGGCACATAGTGGGTGCTCAGTAAATAGAGGTTCAATGAATGATAGGTTGGGAAATCTCAATAGGACCCTCCCTGCTTTGATGAGCACATCTGTGGATGGGTTTCTGGCTGCAAAATATAGGAAAAGAGTGTTTTCTCTGGTATTTCTGGGCTAATGAGCAAGCCCAGGTATATTTATTCTCAGGACAAACCTTCATCAGGCCTTTACTTGTGGAACCCAAGCTCAGGGCCCAGGCAGGGGTGCCTCTGCACCCTTCAGAGCTATAGTTTATTATGGGGGAGGACAGGATGTCCACATGGTCTGTAGTGAAGGATTTCCGGGCAGTGGAAGCCCCCCTCTAAGGGAGACTTAAGGTCATAAGATGTGGAATCTGCTTCCAATCATCAGTAGGGAGCTGAATTCTCAAGCCTGGCATGGGGCGGATGGGCTGGACTCACAGTTGGTTGAGTTCATGAGCAGCAGTCTGTCCTGTAAGCAGAAGAGCTGGTCACCAGCTTGTCCGCCTTTCCAACCCTCAGGTCCACAGTGGAGGAAACTCTCATCCACCCATGCAAACCGAGGGCCCCTGCCCAGAACATTTCCATTACAACTGCTTCCCAATGATATCTAATGATTTTCTTCCTGTTGTCTTCCATTCATTAGGCTGAGAGTTCAAGGAAGACAGGGACTGTATCTATTTATCTGCAACTGGAGCAGGTGGTCTCCGGTTTGAGGTGGGCCAGTGCTCTCTAAAGGATTGAGTGAAGAAGCTACAACATCTGGTAATGTGGAGGTTTAGGTGACTTGGTGGGGTCCCACCTGCTTGTAGGAGTGCCCTCTGCTGTCCCAGCGTTCTTGGGGGACAGTAATGTGGTCTCCTCTAAGTGTTCTCAGAGCATGTGCAAACACGCCGCCCTCAGCAGGCCTCACTGGGAGCCCCACTTGGAGCACCTCTTCCAGTCATTTGCCCATCCTGGGTCCTCCCTGGATAAACGCGACACTCACCCATGAGGTCTTTCAACAGTTTCACATCCAGCTGCCTGAGGATTTCACCGATCAGAGGACATATCTGGACCACCAGCAGAGAGCAGAGGGTCAGAGCAGGGACTAGGAAGAGAAAACTACAAGGCCTGTTGTTGGAAGCTTAGATTCCATTAGACTTCCACATGGAATCATGACAAGAGTGGCTTAGCTTCCTTGTATTGAGTGCCAACTCTGTGCTAGGTGCCATGCATAGCACTTCCATGTTTTATCTCCCCGAATCCTCATGACATCTTTATGAAATAGGGTCTGTGATGGTTCCCATGCTGCAGAGAGGGAATCAGGCTCAGGGAGACCAAGTCACTTGCCCAAGAACACACAGCCAGTAAATGGCAAACTGAACATTTTAATTGAGATCTTTCAGGTTCTAAAGCCCAAGGTTTGAAACTCTTTGTTAAACTGCTAACATGTACTCCTTGATCCTCAGACTGAAGGACGCCCAAGGCGAAAATATTTTTCTCAAACTTACCTGATCTTCTATCAGGTGTGGGATAACTTTTGCCAGATTTTGTCTGAAATTGTGGAGGAAGTGTTTCATCTTTGGTGAGATATCTCTAGAAAGAGAGGTGGAGATACAGAACAGATAAATACAGGGAAAATAATGCTAGGTGTTATGTATAGAATACAGCTTATGCGGTCGTTCAATCCACAGTCAGCTCTGTGTAAGGGGCATCTTGTTAGCAACAGTTAAAGGGGCAATTTGGAGAGGTGATATGACTTGTCCAAGGTCACATAGCAAGTAAGTGTTGATTAGATTAGAACCAGGTCAGTAGAGCTCCAGAGTTCATGGTCTTTCCCCTGCACTGTGCTCTCCATGAAGGTCTGGCATGATCTAGGCACTCAGTGACTGTCTGATGGATAAATGAATGGACATCGGCCGAGAACTTGGTTGCTTTAGGCATTCTGGAATTGCAGAGAGAAATCAGATATACATCTTGCCCTCCAGGGACTCATAGTCTGTTGAGGTTGACAGAGTTAGTCAGCCAGTTTATAGATCTCGATTTAGCTCTGTTTTTTTTTTTTTTTTGTCTTGTTAACTACTGCTGAGGAGGAGCTTTAGAGAAGAAGGGAAGGACATCTCAGCAAAAGGATCTGCATGTGCAAAGATACGGTGGTGTGAAAATACACGGTGTGTTGATGGAGAGGTGGGTCCTTCAGAGAGACTACAGGGCAAAGGGCTGCAGGACAAGCAAGGTGGGGCAGGGGAGAGGACAAGTAGGGCCTTGAGTGACATACAGGAGTTTGCTCTTCATCCAGAGGGCATTGGAGAACCATTGGAAGGTTTGGGGCAGATGCTGAGGGACATGATCAGATCCCTGTGCTAGAAAGTTACTTCTGCTGGAGGAGAATGGAGTGAAGGAGGTCAGACGTACTCAAGGAAAGCCAGAGGAGGCTCCTGTAATGGTCCAGGAAGTGGACAGTGGGACAGTGAAGGATGGAGAGGATGAAGAGAAGGGAGCAAGTAGAGGCTACTGGGAAGTCACTGAGGGGAGCTGGTGAAGATGGACCGCAGGGAGTGAGGAAGAAGAAGAGTCTGGTTTCTTTCTGGGAACGTGGCAGGAACATCATTGGGAGAGGGCACAGGAGAAGGAAGAAATCCTAGGGAAAGGGTGCAATCTGTTAGGAGTTCATTCAGGAGAAGGTAGACACTTGTGGCCATAGCTAGGGCCAGTAGGGAAGGGGCCCAGCCCTGGGGAGGGGCAGCTGGGACCTTACTCAGTTAGGACTGTCGTGTGGACGCTGCTGGGCTCCACATGGCAATCGCCTATCACCAGATCCCTCCGGCCAAACTTGTCTTTCTCTAGCCAGAACTCCACAGCGACGTTCATGCGTGTGTGTGTCTTTGCAGTCTTGTTATGGAAGGGCCTCCTGGGGATCACAGAGAGGGAGAGGAGAGGAAACGGCAGGAGAGAAAGACTAGGAGGTAGAAGCAGCCAACACAGAGTGGCTGCCCACCTGGACGGCACTGTCCACACTCTGAGTCCTTTCAACAAGCCAGCCCAGTGAGGCTCCATGCTGCCTGCACCTTACACCCTGCAGCCGGTGATTAAAAAGAAAACTGCCATTAGCCACAGTGACTTCTGAAAATCCTTTCAATAGACCAGATTAGAGGCCTTTCGAAATTCAAAGGTTGAGAGTTTATCTTATTTTTAATGTTTTTACTGTTTAGCTGCAGTCTCCCTTTTCTTGGGGGAAGTGAATGTTAAAGGATAGTTTGAGCAGGAAAAAGGAAGAGTGATGAGATACAGTGCTTCTTTAAAAAAAAAAAAATCAGTGTAGTGAACTCACAAAGGTTTAAATGAGCAAATGACCTGCATCCACTAACCAGTGATTGCCATCCGCACGGTTCACTCAGACACGTGAAGTGACTTGCCCAAGGTCACACGATGAGTGAGTTCAGAAATCAAGGCTTGAAACCAGGTTGGGGTCAGAAAGATCTGGGCTCCACAGGTTGCTAAATTCCTTCCCACCTCCCAGCTCCCAGGTTCCCAGTGAGGAGGAGGAGGACCTCTTTGGCCCCACTTCTGTATGACTTACAGTCTCAAGTCAATATCAAATTCAAGTGAGATATTTGCTGAGAGCCACTCCTTATGGAAAGACATCTGGGTCCTCCCATGATCCAGCTGAATGTTGGTGATGTTGGCGCTATATAAGGAGAGAGCAGAGGTCCCGCCAGGGTGAGGGACTTGAACCATCAAGGTCTTGGGCTGACAAACAAGGCTGGCCCAACTATAAAAAGGGACTGGCAATGCGTTGGAAGCAGAGCCTTTTATAGAGGCTCTGAGGGCAAGAGCCACCTACAGGCACCCTGGGCTGCAAACTGTCCCAGAGTGCCTAACAGTGCCACACTGCTATACTGATTCGTGTAACCCACAGCCAACTGCAGACCCAGAAGCCAGGCCTGTTGTCACACCAAGCTGCCCCTGCTAGTTGATGGCCTCACCACCTACCCAGGTTGCCGAGGCCTGAACCCCAGGAGCTGTCTTTGATTCTCTCAGACCCTCATTTCCACATTCAAACCGTCAGCAAGTCATGTTGTTTTCTCCGCTCGCAAAATATATCCTTAGTTCGGCCACTTCCCATCACCCCTGTCGCTTTTACCTGGTCCAGCTTACTGTCACTTTCTGTCTGGAGATACTCTAGTTTCTCTGGGCTCCCTGCTGGGATCTTGGCCGCTCTGTAGACTGTTCTCCATGTGGCAGCAAAGGGGCCTAACTCCCCTCTCACTCAACATTTTCCACTGGTTTCTCACTGTTCTTAGAACAAAATGCGAACTCCACACCACGGCCCCTCAGACCTGCAGAGCTTGGCCTCACCTGCCTTCTTGCTCACCCAGCCACACAGGACTTTTCCTTCTTCTCAAACACACCAATCTCTTTCCTGGCTCAGGACCTTTCCAATCTCTGCTTCCCATGTCCCTCATTATCACTTGCTGCTTCATTCAGGTTTCTCCCTAAGGGTTACCTCTTTAGACAGGTCTCCTGGATCCACCCCCTCACTCTCACCCTTTACCTTAACAAATTTGTCTTCATGACATCTCCCTCCACCTGAAATTATTTACTTTTGTGGCCTCTCTCAGAACTAGGATTAAGGTCTCAAAAGGCAGTGACCGTATATCTTGGTTTCTAGCTCTATTCTCAGTACCCAGCCCAGGTCTGGTACACGATAGGTGCTCAATGAATATTTGTAACCATTGTTTAAGGAATGAATGAAGGGAGGGGATTGTGGCTGCACCCATCAAGGAAAACCTTGCTGGTGAGATTGGATCTAATTAAAATGGAGAGAATGAGGGATTCCAGTCGGAGAGGAGGGAGCTCCAGGGTACAGGAGGCTGGAATGACGGTGTGGCAAGTGAGCAGCTTTGAGACTGGGAAGCTGGGAGGCCTGCATCCATTAAGAGGAAGGAGTGAAAATGGAGGTGAGCAGGGCAGGCCCAGTTCTGCAATGTTGATTGTAGCTAGTGATGCCTATGCATCCACTATGAGGAGCAGAAAAAACTCCTGAAAATTTCCCAAAACTCCCAGCAGAAGGGACAAGCATCATGCCCATTTCACTGATGAGGACTCAAGGCTGAAGCTTAGAGTGCTCAAATGCCTTGCCCAGAGTTACATGGCTATCAAGCAATAGAGGCGTTCAAATGCCTGACTCTAGCCCTGAGTTCCTTTGGCCCCCGGGATGTTTATCCAAGCTGTGCTCTGGTGCCCAGGGTATAGAGGAGGCCAGAGTGGTTCAGCAACTTGCCCAAGGTTGGTGGCAAACCCAGGATCTAAATGCAGGAACTTTTACTCCCAAACCTTCACTTTTAATTACCCTGCTATGCTGCCTCCACATATACCCATCGTATGCGTCACCTCATTCATCCTTATATTGGGCCTTACATCTCCTCTTTTCAGTATTCCTTCCTCCCTTCTTCCCAGGCCTTGCGCTTCAATTCCCCTGCTCTGACCCCTGACCCAGAGCTCTGTAAAGAATCCCAGAGCCAGGGATGGGGTTCAGAGTCTCACCTGCTTTCTTTCTGCTGCTGGAGGCTCATGCCACCGCCGATTAGCCAGCCCACCATCCCCGGGGCCACCGAGGCATTCAGACTCTCCAGGAGGCAGATATTCTGGATTCGACCCTCTGCATTGTGCTTCATGAGGCCCTGGGTGATAACTGGAAATGAACAAGGGATCAGTGACACTGTACAATGTCGTGGAAAAGGCGTGGCATTTGGAGTGGGGCCTGAGCTGCAGGCTGGTGTCCCTGCTTCTTGCTGAGCAATTGGTGCATGTCACCTCCCTGCTCCCAACACTGAGATCCACGTTCTTCATCTGTGAAATTGTGCTCTGCAGGGGTGATGTGACATTTCTGCAGAGGGTCTAGTGGGCAATAGCTGCTCAAATGAGATATTTGGTTGAAGGTTCACACTGTGCTCTATCTCTGAAGTCTGGAGCATAAAACCTAACATAAATATAGATCACAATAAATACTGGTTGAAGATTAAAATAAGTGGGCAAATAAAGAGAGAATAAATGTAAACCTTCCCATACCCTGCCCGGAATCAACCACAGGACTGAATGGAGCTCCCAGTAGAAAAGAATGAATTCCAAAAGGAAGGGGAATTTTAAAAGCAGTGGACATGTTTAAGTTCTACCTCTCTTGGCTGTAGACTCTCTTGCCCAAGGTGGGAGTCCAGCTCTGACAAACTTCAGAGCTCACCACAGGGCACATTTATTTCATTGACTTGACCCTTTCTATGATCAGCACCCACACTATGGGTTAGTGCAGAGCCGCAGAAACCATGGTCACCCCTGACCCTCCTTCCTCCAGGGCCAACTCCCAGGCCCCTTTTGAGCATCCCATGTTCCTGCTGCCTATAAAGAAAAGGTGTGTCTGGAGTCAGATCTGGGTTTAAGTCTCAGCTCTGTTAGCTCCCTAATTCTGGCTTTCTTCATCTGTGTAATAGGGGCAGTAATAATACCTACCTCATAGAGTTCATGTGAGAAATATTGAGAAAATTCATCCAAAAAATATTTATTGACCATCTATCTACTGGGTGTCAGATCCTGTGCTGGGCACGAAAGACACAAACCAGTTTTCTGTCTAGAAGAGACATACAGGAACCAGATAGTTTCAAAGATAGAGTGAAACTATAAGTACTCGTAGATGACAGTTTTGGAGAAATGTTAGCAATGTTTAGACCTAACAAGGGACTAATGTCAAGAATAAATGACATCTGGCAGTTTTTAGTTAAATTGAGTTTGCATCTGCTGTAGGGCCCAGCCATCCACATTCTGGGTATAATAATTCAGGGACATTCTCCCACAGGTCCTAACAGGGACACACACAAGGCTGTTTGTATCAGAGTACTTTATAATGGTGGGGAGTTAGAGACAACTCAAGTGTCCATCCCTAGGGAAATGACCAAGTGGTGGTGAAGTGGACAAATCTCATGGACTTCTCTGCACCAGTCTGAAGCCACAGATGTCAACAATGAAACCAGTCAAAAGCAATGAGATCTATGTGGCAATACCATTTATATAAATCAAAACACTGCATATTTTACAGGGATCTGGGCATATTTAAACATAAACATACTGCAGTTCTTGCCAAGGAAGAGGGAATGGGAGTTGGAATAGGAAGTGAAAAGGAAAATAACATAAAATCAAATCAAAGAGGGGCCCCACCATGATTCATGATAATGATAATGTGCTCTGAACTAATGTATGATCAAGCCAACCTCAATTGTCTATGCCTGAGGTCTAAGAAAAATAGGAAGAAAAGAGGGTAATGGCAAGGCCCAGAGCGTGCTTTCCCCACCCACCCTGTGACAGCCGGTGGAGCGTGAGTTTAGCTTACTTCTTGCCAGGGTGGATTTGCTGGTCGTGTGGGCCTTGGCCAGGTCAGGCCAAGGCTGCTTGCGCAGTGCTGAGGGCAAGGACAGCAAACTGAGGAGGACCAGGAGCCTCCAAAATGGATGCATCTTGGATTCTGGGACCTGCAAGTATCAAGAAGGGTCAGAGGGCTTGAGAGCAGCCACTGGGATGGATGGACCCATGGTTTTCTGCGGGACAATTACACCAGAGTTAGTGCCCGGAATGCGGTGGGGAGGTATGAAGACGCACTCTGGCAGCTGCTCACATGCTGAGGGCAGCTGGTAGAACCCTGAGGGGAGATCAGGGCTCTAGCAGGATGCTTTGTTGCTTGGAGACACCCCAGTAGAGCCCACTGTTGGGTCATCCAGCAGGAATGCTCTTCCAGGCCTTGCACAGGCTGTATGTTGGTGACTCTTCAGTGAATAAATGAATGACTAAATGGCTAAGGATGGCTAATTCCAGGCTTTCCAATTGGACTAGAACTTTCTTAAGGGCAAGATCATCCTCAGTGTCTACCATGATGCTTGTTTGCTAAAAACTAAGTGCTAGGGAATGTTCGTTGAGTGACTGGATGACAGTACATGAAGGAATGAGGATGGCTGGTCTCTGAATCTCCCACCAGGTTATCAGTTTCTTGAAGGCAGGTGTGAGCCTAATTAATCCTCATATGCCCAGTGCCTCCCCTGTTACCACATGGTAGTTACTAATTCTCTTTAAATGAAGTGAACAAATAAATGACTAAATGGCTGGCTGATGGTTTGTGAATAAGATTTGCAGGAGGGGGACAGAAAGCCTTGAAGCCAAAGTATTAGGTTTACCTTGTTGCTCTGAGGTTGGGAGTAAGAAAAAATTTAGTTCATATCCCCTTGTCCTTACCATCTCCAGAAATGGCACCACAAATCATCCAGTTGCTCCAGCCCCAGCCCTTGGAGTCCCCTTGACTCCTTTTTGCTCATCTCCCATGACCCATCTGTTAGGAGATCCTGCCAACACTTTCAGAATCTGACCACATCTAACAACTGCCCCTCCACAACCATCTTGCCTGAACTGTTGCAGGGGCCTCCTATGTAGTCTCATGGCTTCCTTCCTTGCCCACCGACAATCTCTTCCACACAGAAGCCTGAAAAATCATTTAAAGGTGTAAGTCAGATCACAGCATTCTTCTGCTCCAAACCCTCTCCAAAGTTTCCCACTGCAAACAGAGCAGAAGCCAAAATTCATGCAAGCCCTCCTGGCCCTGCAGGGTGTCCCCTGTTGTTCTCTCTAACCCCATCTACTACCACTCTGTCCCACCCCTCCCCTGCAGAGAAGGGAGTTGGTATCCCAAAATTCAGCTTCTCTGAGCTCTGGGACAAAGGTAATTTTCACTCCTCCAGGCTGCGGAGGATGTGTATGTAGGGTCCTTTGCAAATTTCATAGCAGCCCAGGGGGCTACCTTTGGCAAATGGCTTTTGGTTTTGTGAGAGATCATAATGAAAGGGTTAGTTCAGCATGATGGTTTTTTCATTTGAGGTCTTCCCTCAGGGTTCACACTCCCCTTGGGATGTTTGCAGAGTATCAATTGCTTTGAAGTATACTTTTCCTGTCTTTCTGGTCTTGTGTAACCAGCTGGGATTTTGTTATTTTTTTTTGGTCAAGATAATTGGAGAGGAGTGAGAACTGTTGGGAGAAACAAATCTGTTGTCCTTGGCTTTTTGGAGGTCTGAATGTGGAGTGGTAGGTTTTCATTACCACTGCATTGCAGGTTGTATTTCTTAGGGCCCCCAAGTCTAAAGAAATGGTAACAGGTAGAGTGTAGACTTTTGGAGCCTGGTGCCTGATAAGGTCACAGGGAGTCACTCCTCAAGGGGAAGCCCTGGATTTACAGCCATTTTTTGATTCATGATCATTTTCAGTTAAGGGCATGGGTTTCTGAGTCACAGAGACCAGGGTGAAAATTCTGGTTCTCTCTTGGCAGACTCAGTTTCCAGATATGTAGAAGGAGGGCCAATGTAGTGCAGAGTTCAGGGCTGTAGTGAGTATTAAAGGGAATCATGCTCAGCGCAATCTTCAAAATCTGTGTTGCTATGATTGCTCTCATCCTTATCCTCATCCTCACCTCTCTGAGTCTCAGCTTCCTCACCTGTAAACCAGGGAAGCTGGTGGAGCAAATGACACCAAGTATGAAGAACCCCGAGATGGTGCCTGGGACACCAGAAGCACACAAAGTGTAACCGAGCAAACCGGGGCTCAGCCATGTGGCACCTTGACACATGACCCGACAATTAGTGTTGAAGGAAACAGGTTTTTATTAACAGGGTTCCAACCTCAGGGGTGCTGAGAGCACCCCCACTTGGAACCCTCCTCTCCCATGAGACCCAGCACTTCCCTTGCTTCCCAAAAGGCTGTAAGTCAAAACCATGCCCGAGGTTCCCCACATCCTTATCTGGTCTTAAGCTGGCCATGCAAATGGGTCTCCATCCTCTCTGGAATGTGCTCTTGTGGCTTTCAGAGTCGCCTTCCTCTCAAAGCAGCTCTCTTCTTCAAGACCTGGGGCATGTTGTTCTCAACCTCCATGTAGCAGTTCAAGAAAACATGTGCCATGTTACCCTGGGTCATGGTGGAGTCCAGGGAGGCACACGTTCCAAGACAGTGGCTTCTCTATATGTCCTTTATTGACACAGAAGTCTGCAATTCAGCATTCCTGGTCACAGTTCAGCTCCAAGCATCTCTCACGAATCCGTGCTTGTCTTGGCAGGTCCCTGCACAGCTCCATCAGCTCTGCTGCTGTCTTCTCCAGGGCAGGCTTCCCAGTGGGCCTCCTCTTTCTTACTCTATACCTCATCACATACTCTTACTCCCAACCACATGGTTTCCCCCTACACACCGGACCTTGTGGTGGACCCCCTTGGCTCTCTCACTCATTCTGGACCCCTTCTTTTCATGGTGTACTCTTCCTTACACACCAGACCTCATGGCAGACTCTCTCCATGGTGGACTCTCTCACTCACATCCTTTCAGCCCACCCTCATTTAAATGCTTGACCTGGAACTTCCTATGTAATTTCATATCCAGCCCCTCCTATAGTGTGTTAGTGTCCACTATTTTTGCCAGTTCCTATGTATATTTTACCTTCTTTCAGCTGCCTCTTTAGTCAAGGCAAGAGTTCCTGGTGACACTGGAGCATCTGGGGTGGGCATCTTCTTGCTGATGCATGTAAAGAATTACATATCAGCAAATCGTCCTTCAGAAGAAAACAGAAGTCCGGACGGAGCTCGGCTAAGCAGGCCTCTTGCGGTTCCCAGAATCATATGTCACGAGTCACTATATGCTCATAAAGTCAACAGTCCTCTTCACTTCAGGAAAGCCATGGCTATTAACTTCCAGTGTTATGCAAAGTATCTTAAACTCTATCTTCCACTTCTTCCTTCCCCCAATCAAATGTTGTGGGGAATATGCTCTGCTATTTTCAGGGGACCCCCTACTCTGCACCCAGTTACAAGTGTCAAGGAGTCACCTCTGGAGCACATTTGCAAGTGAGAGCATAGCTGTTTTGGTCATTCCTGCACAGGCGTTATAACTGGGGTCAGAATGGCAGCCATGCAGAGCCTGGAATGAGCTTGCAGAGGAGGTCTGATTAGATGGTAGGCTTTGCTCTCATTAATTCAACAAACAAACTAAGCAGCTAGAGTCATTGAGTGCTGACCAAGTGCCAGGTGCCATTGGCTCTGGGGATCCAAAAGAGAGTGGCCAGACAGGTTTCTCATTCTCATGGAGCTCATACCCCCATAGAGACACTGATGGTCTGCAACTCTCCCTGCCATGAGTATATTGTTAAGAAGTGTGGCCCTGTGTGAAGGGGAAGTAGGAGAATCTATGCAAGAGCCCAGTGAAGGGAGACCTGGCCAATAGGGAGGGGAATAATCAGAGAAAAGACCCCTCCCTTGGGGAGTTGGAGTCTTAGCTGACGTTTCGGGGAAAGGCTACGTGTTAGCTGGGCGCCCTCCCCATTTGGTGAGCCTCATTCACTGGACTAAGACTGCTCTGCACATGACCTAATTCCACCCTCACATCACACATGAGGGGTTGGAGACCCACCAAAACCCAGCAACCTGCAGAGCTCCCATTCAGCATGACACTGGGCTGCCATCCCAGTAGGCTCTCTTGCCCTCCCCAGAATGGTAATGTTACGGAAAGCCAGACTCAAGACACGATTCAGGGAACGGAGTAAGCCTTTATTCACACGCGCGGGCTCAGAGGAGGCAGTCTCCAAATTCTGAGCCCCGAATCGGGGTTAGATAGGGGTTTATAAGCCCTAGCATTCCGGGCGAGAAACGGATGGGCTTCCCGGGTGGGGGAAGGGATTAGCATTCAGGTGGGAGATTGATGTGCTACCCAGGCGGGGGAAGGGATGTGAAAACGGGCTACAGGAACAGATAAGCAATGATTAACAGTTAACCTGGGAGGGGTCTCTGGCTAGGCTGCTCCTCCCAAGTCATCTTGCCCTTATCATTCCCCCCTTTGATGCTAGACGAGATTGGCCTGAGTCTTAGCATCATCACACAAGCCACGGTGGTCACTCTGTTGGGGTTGGGTCGGGAGTCTTTGGTATCGGTGATGCTGGAGGAGCAGCACTCGAGCAGCGGCTCGTCTGGTGACCGCGGTCTCTAGGTTATTAATGAGGGTGCGCAGCAGCCAGGGTCCTAGACTTATTCCTAAGAGGAGTAATATCAGGGGGGCCTAGGAATGGAGCCAGCCAGCGGAGCCAGATTTGGGTATCTAAGCTCCATGTCCCTTGCCCTGACTCTCGGTAGCGCTTCGTACCATCTTTCAGCTCCTTAACCTTCTGGGTTAAGATTCCAGCCTAGGAATAGGCAAGTCCCCCCTTTTTCTGCTGTGAGGAGATCTAGGGCTCGCCTCTTCTGCAGGGATCATGCCTTGGTTGCCGACTAAGATGGTTGGTCACTACTCTGGGGTGGGATCAGGTCTCTGGTTCCTTGGGTAGACGGCCCACTGTCCTTCAGTTCTCTTCAGCCGGACTGTGGGGGCTCCCTTCGAGGTGGAGGTTCGGTGGCTCCGAAGTCCTGGCTCGTCTGGATCTGCTGCTGCCTTGGCCCGAGTGTAGTGG